CGGGACTGCGGTCCGCTCTGGTTCCACCCCCGACGCCGAAGCAACCAGCGGCGCGGTCCTTCGCGTTTCTGACGCCCAGAGGGAGGGCTCGTTCCCAGCGCTCTTAGGATTTTACTTTTCTCAGTAGTTTCTTCCCTCCTTCCCCGGGCCCCACGACGTTCCCCGTCTCCCCAAAGGCCAGAGCACCGGCGCAGGTGCGCGCATCGGCTGCGCCCGGGCCTCGGCGGCTGTGCGTGTTCTCATCGCGGTGGTGTGAGCTCCGCCGCGCTCGAGCGGCCTGGGACCAGGCCTTTGTTAGCCCAGCGCATCCTAGGCGTTGTGGCCGCCCCGGGTTTCGCTCGGCGAGGCTGATCAGTGCTTTCACAGCGGGGACGATCAGGGAGACGCTCCACTCTATAGGGCCTCCTTTCTAAGCCTAACTCGGTGGCAGAAGACCTGGAAAACTTTGAAAACAAGTTCAGATTTCCAGGCTTGCCTCCGTCCACTAAATCGGAAAGCCTCCAAGGTAGGGTCCTTTATCTGTGTGGTTAAATCCCCAGGGGCTTTTGGCCAGTGCGGCAGAAGTCTGGAGACTGTGGTTTGGAAACTACTGTCGTGGGGAATAGGGGGGTGTACAGCGAGCTCCAGTCTTTGCCTGCAGAGAGCTTAAACGGGAATGCAAGTGATTATAATTAAAACTGGCAAAAGTTAGCGACCGTGGGAAATGCCGCAGGGCCTGGAGGAGTGATTGTAGTCCATCCAGAAACGCTGGGGAAGGAGGCGGTGCTGGGATGGGGCCTCTGAGCTTGGGTGGACTTGTGATTTGTCTAGGCAAGGGAGCGATTGGGCGGCGGCATTCAGTTCTCCGGTCTGCGTGAACATACTAGTGTGGAGGAGTGGTGAACTTGGGGCTCTTTAAGGAGGGGTGGTCCTGCCCTGCGCCAGGCCTGGATTCTGGCTTGTGGCACGTGAACCGTCTGGCCAGCCTTTATGGGGCATCATTCCCAGTAATGGCACCGTTAACTCGTCCCCACTTACCATTCTGATGGTACAGAAGCATCTGAATAACTGTCTTTGAGCCTGTGTGCTCAACTCGACCATTCACTTCCTGAATTGTTCTAGTTGGGGTTAAAAGCTCTGGCCTGGTGTGTGCAGTCTTTTTTTTTTTTTTTTTTTTTTTTAAACCCCGTTGATGGAATATACCTTCTCTCTGAGTATCTTTGGGGCAGAGTGTGGATTTGCGGATGTGCCTGTAAACCTATCATTTAAAAACAAAACAAAACAAAACAAAAACACAACTGTGACTTTTTACCAGAAATTAATTTGCTCAGGGGAGGGCACCCTTTAGGTGATACAAAATCTGACCACTCAGAAGGCTTACAAGTTGGTACTTGGCAGCTTGCCACCAAATCCAGGGTAGGGGGGGAGGGTGTCTCCAACCCCTGGCTGAGATGCCAGGGTGGCAAAGGGGCTGCAAAGTGTTTAAACCCCTGTTCCCTGGATGAGTAAACTGCCCCCTGCTTGTGGGAAGGGCACTGACGCTGCCCAGGCCCTGCTTGGCTGAGTATATATATATATATATTTTTTTTTTAATTTTTTTTTCAACATTTATTTATTTTTGGGACAGAGAGAGACAGAGCATGAACGGGGGAGGGGCAGAGAGAGAGGGAGACACAGAATCGGAAACAGGCTCCAGGCTCCGAGCCATCAGCCCAGAGCCCGACGCGGGGCTCGAACTCACGGACCGCGAGATCGTGACCTGGCTGAAGTCGGACGCTTAACCGACTGCGCCACCCAGGCGCCCCTGAGTATATTTTTTAAAATAGCTTTAAAAACAAAGAAGGCATGCTTTCTGAATTTGTAGATGGCCAGAAGCTGAGCGGGATAAGCAGTAAAGTGAGTGGTAAGAATTGGGATCCAAAGTTCTCTGGACACGCAGTTGGTTAAAACTGACAACATGAGAGTTAACAGGTTGAAATCGCTTGAACAAGAACAGATTCTGATTTCACTATCTTGTGGACATACTGTGATTTTTGAAAAATTAATTTGAACACCATATTTTGTTTTAGAAAATCTGTGGTATTGACTGATAAAATTAATGGAGTACATGAAAGGAAAATAAGGTTGGTTTCATAAAGTGGATGGAGGGGTGCCTGGGTGGCTCAGTCAGTTAAGCATCTGACTTTGGCTCAGGTCATGATCTCGCCATCTGTGAGTTCGAGCCCCATGTCGGGCTGTGTGCTGACCGCTCGGAGCCTGGAGCCTGCTTCGGATTCTGTGTCTCGCTCTCTCTGCCCCACCCCTGCACATGTGTGGGTGCTCTCTCTCGCTCTCAAATAAAGAAACATTACAAAAAATAATACAGTGCATGGAAAGATGAGGCAAAACTGCATCATTGTGACCCTCACATATGATGTCCAGGTGCCACAGATTTCTGAGCTAATGCAGGGACCGGTAAAAGACTAGTCATTTTCACAGTCCTGGAGAAGAGTGGTTTTGGACATGTAGTCAAATTGGTTTCAAATCCACTAACTGCCTTCTGTGGCCGTTCCCCATATCTGTAAAATAGGATTGCTGGCTCCTTCTGTGAGCTCATGGATTAGAGAGAGAACTACATGTAAGGTGCTTAGCACAGGTGTAGCACATGGTCAGTGCCTAGTGGATGTTAGTTAGTAAATGAACTCTGAACTTCAGCGGCTATCTAAAAGAGAATAACAATGCACTCTTAACTGGATTTTGTGAAAAGGTAGGAAATTTCACACTGCTCAGCTCACATCAAGTGTATTTTGTTTAAGTAGCTCTTTGATTTTTGTTGTTGTTGTTTTAGACATTCCATCTAATGCTCCTGCCTCCAAGCCTTTTAATTTTTATGATCTGAAGAAACATGTAGAAGGAACGCATTAAATGTTTTCAGATTTTGTGCTAAATTATTAGTTTTCACTCCCTTTACAGATTAGATTGCTGAGTGAATCCAGTCTTTTGTGTGTAGAGGGTTTGTCGAAAAGAGGAAGTATGTCCATGTCAGACCGGAGTGAAACTTCTCTGCTGTATCATACTCCTGAAAGAGCTCACTTGATGTCTTTAAGGTCAACAGCTTATAATTGATAATCCAAACAAGTTAAAGGTGTCCTGGTTTAAAGTTGCTTTGGCAGTAAGCTGGTTTCAGTTTTATAGGGTGGTTCTTTCACTTACTAGGTTGCTACGCCAGTATGCTTTGAAACTGACGGTCAGCTGTGGGGACTAGGTAAATACTGGAGGACAGTCTGTCTTAAGGATATTTCTTGGGAAAAAACCTAGAGACCTAAATGTAGAATAAAGGTTAAGATACTAGGGAAAAAAAGACTTTAATTATAAAACTTCAGCGATAAGCAAGGGAAAAAACTCATAAAAAATTAAAGTGGATTTAGCTATGTAAAAATAAAAAATTCTGCGGGACAAAATAACCACAAAGGCAAAAGATGAACAGAAAATAATTTAAGTACACATTACTAATGAGCCTTAATAAATGAAAGGCTCATACGCAGTAATAATAAAAAAAGACTTTGGTGCCTGAGTGGCTTAGTCGGTTGAGCCGACTCTTGGGTTCTGGGAAGAGTCGTGGGATCGAGCCCCGCGCTGGGCATGAAGCCTGCTTAAGATTCATATTCTGTCTCTCTCTCTCTCTCTCTCCCCCTCTCCCCCCTCCTCCCTTCTCTTCCCCCCCTTCCTCTCTGTCTCCCTCTGTTCCTCCCCCACTTGCATGCATGCTCTCTCTAAAAAAAAAGAAAAAAAGACAAATAACCCATTTGAAAATGGTCAAAGGCCATTCATGGAAGTTCATGGAAGAAGAGATGCGAATGACCAGCAGCTGGAACCAGAGCTGCGCTTCCTCAGTCACTGGGGAAAGGAATAGCACATCACTGATGGTTCCATGTTTTCACCCATCACATTGAAATTTGTCAACATGGCGGTGAGGATGGAGAGGAACGGACATTCTCGTGAAGTGTGTTGGGAGTGGAAGTTACCACAGCTTTTGGGGAACGAATGTTGGCATCTGCCAGGCTTAAACCGCTCATACCCTTTGAGCAGCAGTCTAGCACATTAGGTAGGGGACACGTTGGTGGTTTGCTGTGGCATTGTTGGTCCTGCAGGACACTGGAATCGGCCTGCGTGCCCACCAGTAAGGGAACTGGACGACCCGCCTCCCCGACAGTACCTAGCTGTCAGGAAGAGTAATTCGACCCAGGTGTGCTAGCTGGAACGAGCCCCGAGGCCTTATATGAACAAGGGTGTGTGTGCTGTTGTGTGCAGTATGCTTCTGCCTTCTAGAAGTTAGAATGCTCGTGCACAAGGGCATCAGCCTGAAAGAAAGTGGAACGTGCACGCTCCTGTTACTGGGGGGGGGGGGGGCAGAGTGGGGGCTTTTTCTGATGCTTCTGTGGTACATTGCATTTGAGCCTGAAAAGATTCAGGTGTAGAGAACAGTTGAAGCGAAATATTTCACCCTCTTGTTGCTTTAGTGTGCACGGCAGCCGTTAGCTGATGTGAATATGATCCACCCAAAAGTAGTTTTCTCAGCTTCAGAATGTAGATGACTCGAAACAAAAAACCCTAGGTGAGATTAACTGTAAAGAAAAACAGTCCTTAGCCTTGTCTCATTCTTCATTAAGTTCTTGTATTTAGAATTCTGGGGGGCCTTCTTCCAAAGTTTTGGGTCACAGTCACATTTGTCTTAATTATTGCAGCCCCAAATACTTTGAATTATTATTTATCCAAAATAGAATGTAAGATTCTGGCTGATCAGTTTTTGTTACAGCATCTATGACTTACAGATTTAAAAACAAAATTTTGTTAATGTATATTTATTTTTGAGAGAGAGCGTGAGCAGGGGAGGGGCGGGGGGGGGGGGCACAGAATTGGAAGCAGGCTCCAGGCTCCCAGCCGTCAGCACAGAGCCCGATGTGGGGCTGGAACTCATGAACCGCGAGATCATGACCTGAGCCGAAGTCAGATTCTTAACCGACTGAGACACTCAGGCGCCCCCATAAATTTTTTTAAGATTTTATTTGTAGGTAATTTCTACACCCAACATAGGGCTTGAACTCAGAACCCCGAGACCAAGGGTTGCATACTCTACTGACTGAGCCAGCCAGATACCCCACAGATTTTTTTTTTTTTTTAAGAATCCAAATGCAAGCTATTTGATCCTTTCAGCGACGTATTCCAGAGATCTAGAGCCTCGAGATTGTGTTCGCGGGGTTGTTGGAAGGGTTAAATGAGATGCCGTGTGGAGGCAGTGTGGCACCTCACAAGAGCATGGGCTGGGAAACCAGGCTGCCTGGCTTGGACTCCCCACCCCTTACAGGCTTTCCCTTGGGCATTATTGCGCCTGATTGCCTCAGTTTCCTCATCCATGAGGAACACAGTAATGGTACTCACCTTGTAAAACTGTTGTAAGGATTGCTGCATTGAAGATAGATAGAGTGCTAGAATATAGAATAGTGCCTGGAAGGCAGTAAATGTTCATTATTTTTACAAGCCATTCTCAGCTGTGGCCAAAAGAAATGAGATGCTCTCATGTTTAATTGAAATAGCACTTACGGTATTCCAGTATCCCAGAGTGAGAAGGAGTGGAGAAGCACGTTCGATTCAGCCCGTGGAGATGGGCCATTGCCTGGGGTGGTGCTCAGATCCGTGCACTGCGTCGGAGTTGTAGCCACAGGGTAGAGGCCAGGCCGGGGCTGTGCTGGGAGTGCTGTTGTGAGGAAGGCTTGCAAGAACTGAAAATGTCTTCCCTGGGGAGAGAGGACTTCCCCATTGGACAGTGGCAGTAGAGGGACCTGATTCAGATGGGTAGTTTAATTCAGAAACGAAAACCTGACCTGGCCCCAGCGGAAGGGTGGGTTGCTTTTCAGGTCGGCCTCCTCCCTGTAATGTTCTCTCTCCTGAGACGCCTGGCCCTCGGGCCCCACTGAATGCAGTGTGCCTGTTCTGCATTTGGAGTCTGTTAGGAGAATGGGCGTTTGAGGCTCAGACACAGTGTGGTCTGGGTTCCTCTTGGAAGTGCCCTGTCGGAACATTAGGGATCCTGGGAGGAGGACTGTTGACTAAGTGGTCATTCTGCATGCCATTTAATGGCCTGGCGATGCTGCTTTTTGAATACGTTCTGTAGGGTGTTTATGTCATGTGTGAGATAAACGGTAGTATTTGCAGTTAGTTTGGGAAATCCTGAGGGAGAACGGTATAATTTAATGAAATAGACATTTCCCATTTGAATTAGGCTATAAAGCAGAAGAGTTACTACTTTTTGTTAAATCAGAAATTTATCAGGTATTTAAGGTACTTTTGACCTAAAAACTCCTGAAGATACTTCTTTCCTTGGAGTTTCTGTATTTTAATTTAAACTTTTGTTTTTAAAAGAGTAGGATTGATACCCAGTTCATTTCTACATAGAGGCAAAAGGACGCTACGGAGCCTTTTGGAGCTTACAATTGAACTGGTTGTGAAATGAGGACATTTCTGTACCTGAACTCCAAGGAACCAGAGGGGGCCAAATGCAGGATGGGATTGTGCACACCCGCGTCTTCAGCCCTTACACACACACACACACACACACACACACACACACACACACACCGTTCAAGTGTTTAATAGCTTACGTAGAAATTTGGGGAAAGCTGGAGAATAAGGAACGGTGGTTAAATTTTATGTGGAAAGGGATAATGGAGTATATAGCATTTAAGACAGGTACTTTTGGTGTGTAAATCTTCAGAGTTTTAGATAAAAAATTTCCCTGGCTTTCCGCTGAGTTTATTGTCTTGGAGTATCTGAAATTCCTCATTTTCTCCATAGATGGTAATTGACATGGACACTTGCTGGGGATGCCAGGTTAACACCGATTTGCTTCCTTCAGCCCCTCACCTTCTCTGTGCTCATTTGTTTGACCTTCTATTTCGTGGTCAGTTCAGAATGCTATTGAAATAGGACTTTTGAAGACCACATATCTTGGAAGAGTCCCTCTGTCTTTGAAGTTTTATCTTGAGGGACCCAATAATTGTTTTCTTGGCCTAGAATCCGTATTTTTCTTCCCAGGATTTATTTTTAAAGAAAGGTTTTTAAGCATTTGTTGCTTTCAGGCATGAAATTATTGAGAAAAAAAATATTTGTTTTCCTCAAAATACCCAGTGGCCCTTCAAATGCCAGTTGGGTCGTCTTTCATTGCTTTTCTGTTGACTGTAACTGTTGGAAGCAAATGTCCGTGTTAAATAGCTGTCCAGAAAGTACTTTTAAAAAGTTTGTCCAACAAGGAGAAAATTTGAACTTAATAGTAAACATCTCAGAAGGTGCCGCCGCCGGCCCCCCGCCCCTGAAAATGTGTCCTGGCCGGTGACCAGATGCTCTTTAAGCAGGTGCTCTGTGTTGTAGGCAAAGAAGCTCAGAAGGGACCTCTGCTCTTCGACGACCTCCCTCCGGCCAGCAGTACTGACTCAGGTACAGTCTTCAGGCTCTCCCAGGTGTGTGTCAACGTGTCATCCTGGGGTTGTAGTTGTCTCAAATCTTTCTCCCTTTCCCCCATTTTCAACACACAGATGTTTTAGGTGTTGGACTGTCTTAAGTTTTGAATCCATGGCATCAGGTAAGGCAGAAAAATCCACTAGTCGCTAGCCCTGAGGATCTGCATAAAAACGTTGAGCAGTTTCCTCCGGTTCATTTGAGTGTTTACTTTACCAGCTGAAATCAGATTTAACTCTTTCAGGCAGATTTTTGTTTCCTTTGATTGATAGGACTTTAAAATAAAATAGGTTCGAGCCATTATTTACCGAAGTATGAGTTGCCACTGGATTGACACGAGAGTTTTGAGATGATTTCATTGACCTGCGTAGGTGTCCTGGTGGGATGGATTCTGAAGCTCTTGCCTCCCCCAGGTTTTGTGGGCTCACTGAGTGTTCTGCTGTGTTTCAGGATCAGGGGGACCTTTGCTTTTTGATGATCTCCCACCAGCCAGCAGTGGGGATTCAGGTAAGTGGGAGGGAAAAGGTTCAATGTGCCAATGGAAATAATACATAAAAATTGTATCCTTATGTAAAATGTATTTATTAATAGATTCCACAGAGCTTAGGATGACATGAAACCAGCATACAGCATGAGATTTATTAAAATCACAAAAGAAATAGGCACCATCGGGTGGGAACAAAAAGATTATATACAGCATCACTTTTTGGTGATTATTGTTTACTTCTTGGGGTTCCACCTCTTGCAACTGACTTTAAGAATTAAGAGCTTAGTCATTTAAACTTTGTTTTTAACATTTTATAAGAAAAAAAAAAGCAATCCGTCTCTGCCTCTGTTAGTGACAGACTCCAGTGTATTCGTTCAGCAGAAGTCTCTGAATATATGACATAGTTAAAATATTTTTAATATCCCTGAACCTATAAAAACAGATAGTCTTCTCTTTTAATGCACCTACATTAAAAAGAATTTTGATCTCAAGAAAATACAGTCTGAATGACACTGGTTTAGTAACTAGTACAGACCATGTGCAGGAGTTTTCTTGGAATTTCTTGAAACCTTAGCTGGTTATTTTCATTCAGTCCTTATTTTTTCTCAAGAACCTTTATTGATTTGATTTCATTTTTGCCAAGCCTGTTCACATTGGTTCTACCTGTTCCTGGAAATGTTTTTTCCTTTCTACATCCCAGTTAGGTCGAAGGGGAGAAAAGAGCAGGTTCCGGTCAGTGGTCACAGTGATGAGTCTCCTCTTCTGTCTCACCGAGGACTTCTCACGTGGAATCACTCTAAGTGAGGGCAGGACAGGGGGCCACAGGGCAAGAGTGAGGGGACAGGGGGCAGGCTGTCTATTTTCACCTGCAGTTATCTGCTGGTGTAAATACCTTCCTTATGTCGTCAGGTACAACACTTGCTGCTGATTTTCAAGTCGATCTTTTGTGTTACTAATTCATTACATAAAAATAATCAGGGTTGGTCTAGAATGTATGGATTAAGTTAGCATAGTTCTGTATTTAGAACAAGTTATTACAGGCCTCTAATGTGAGAATTCTCAGGTTTTCGGGGCTTTACTAAAACACCACAGCATTCTCTCATTCACAGTTAAACCTGAAACCTTGCCTATAAGGACAGCAGTCTTACAATGAAAGTCAATGCGTGCAAACATCAACTTAACAGGGCTCTTTACAGGTTTAATAAAAGAAAATTCAACATAGCTGTGTCTTAGTTCTTCCCAGGACAAAGGACAATCAACTAGTAACAACTTAGAAGATTTTGCACCATTATTAACAGGCTTGATTTTTTCGGATTTAGAATCTAACCTTGCATCCAATATATTGAATTTCTTGAGAAGACATATTCACCGTATACAAAATCGACTACATTCTAGGCCATAAAGTAAGTCCCACTAATGAATTGATTTCATATACAGACCACACTCTCTGACTACAGGTGATTCAATTAGGAGTTAGTAACAAAGCTATAAAAATGTCTCTGTTTTGCGAGTTAAAAGAGAGGAAGCTCGTTTTACATACGCACCAGGAAAGCTGGGATAAAGAGTACGTGACAGGAGGCTACTGGAAAGACCTTGGGGGAAAGTATATTGGAAACATTAGTGAAATTTTCTCAGTTAACGTGCTTTACTATGTGGGGCAGGGTGTGTGTTATGTCCTACTGTTGCAGATACCTGTCCTTTTGCAAGTAATTGACTCTGCAGGGACATTTTCTTCCCTTCCTCTGTACTCAGAAATGTCTGGTGAAGGATAATTGAGTAGATGGTCACATGCTTTTATACTGAAATGCAGAGAATACTTAGGGCTGCCTACTATGACAACGGCTGCCATTTATTGGGTACGTGATGACCCAGGCACTGTGATAAATGCTTCTACTTACCTCATCCCCACCTTCCGAGATGACAGTGTTCTCCCTGTGTTACGGGTCGAGAAACCGAGGCGGGGAGGTCAAGTCACTTGCCTTAATTTGAGACTAGACTTTTCTCCTTCCAAAACGCACGCACCCTGCAGGTGCTCTTAGCTTTTTGGCTTGAGTACAGACTCATCCCTCTGCAAGTGTGAATGGCTTCAGTGGTCCTGTTTGGCCTTTCGCAATACACGGTTCTTAAAACCTGACATTTACCTCATTGTAACCCTCTCAGGGCACTTGATGCTTTCTTGACTTGTTCAGGACATGTCACTTTGCAGATTTTGGAAACTTACCTATTAATAAGGGCCTGTGGGTATGGAGCCTCGTGTGTGTCACAGCCCCAAAATGTGGGCTGTTTTTACCACTGACGACCCTCCTTGCAGATCCTCTCACAGTTGGCCTGAGCAGGACCTGGATCTTGACCTGTGGTCCCTCCTGGTGGGCACCCGGCCCACTGCCCACCCCTCCAAGTCCTTGCCATGAGATCCCTGTGCCTGCCGCTCTCCCAGTGCTCACACCGCACGTCATTTCGTCTTGGGGCTGGGGTGGAGCCTGGTCGGCTGGGAACTTTGACAGTCTGTAGCTGTGTCTGTCTGGCTTCTCCTCGTGTCCAGGTTCTCTTGACGCTTCGATGTCCCAGACGGTAAAGAACGAAGGGAAAGGAGCAAAGAGAAGAGCCCCTGAAGAAGAGAACGGCAGCGAAGAGCTTGTGGAAAAGAAAGTTTGTAAAGGTTTTCAGACAGTTTGAAAACAAATGTATTAGACTTCCCATCTTAAAACAACCCAGAGCAAAAACGAGCTCAGCTTTCCCATTCGGGACACTTCTGTTTCGTGTCTGTATTTAAGAAACTGGCAGGGTTCTCTTTTTGCAGACAGACTTCCGAGTTTACTTTTGCCTCCTCCCCTAACTTTTCTGTTCGTCTCTGGCCCAACTTTGGCCAGGCCGGAAACCCACGTTTGTTCTTCGAGGGTTAGAAAACCCAGGTCATTTTGACTTCACCTTGTCCAGTGAACAGTTAGCTTGTTGGGCCCCCACTTTCTCTCTGACTCCTGTCTTTGTTCACAGCCTGTTGCTGAGCACTTTGAATTTGTGATCAGCTTAGTAGGCAGCTTCCCAAGAAGGCGCCTGAGGCTGGAAAAACCAGTTGAAATTTGTAGTCAGCTCTGTAACTTGTCAGAGTGGAGAAGAAATGAAAAGTATCAGTTAAAGAGAGGTAGCCGTGGATGTTCACACACCATACCGATCATTTTGTCCTTTGCCCCAGAGCTTCCAAGCGAAAGCCGTGGGGTGCACTGGGAGACGTGTGAGAAGCCTACTAACCCGCTTAAGGACAGGGTCGTAGGTTAGCTGGTCACGGCCTTGAGCCTCAAGAGCACCGTGCTTACCAGCAACGGCTCTGTCAACGTGCTCGTTTTATTGTTTACACAGCCCTAGGGTGTCCGAAAAGGAGCTTAACCAGGCCTGGCCTTTCAGTGTCAGCAGGTTTCTGTGCCCATGGTGTGTGTACTCCTTTATCCTTTTCTTCCTCACTTGAAGTAGAAGCAACTGTCTTACTCTTTGTTCAAATTCGTTACCAGCCTCAGGCATGGGAATAGAGTTTCACATGTCCAGCAGGGCATTTGGGCTAAACTCCATGCATGTGTCTAAACTAGGAATTTTTTTGCCCTCATTAGATAACTGACAAGACTGGGTTTGCACACAATCCCTTGCCCCAGTTTGGGACGACAGCACATTCCTTGCTCTGCTGTTAATGCCTTAACCGAAGCTGTCAGTACTAACTTGCTGTCGTCTGCTACTTCCCTCTTCAGTGTTCAGCCTTCTCTTGTTTATTTTTTGAGAGAGAGAGGGAGTTTGTGTGAGAGTGGGGCAGGGGCAGAGAGAGAGAGAGCACGCGTGAGCAAGAGAGAACCCCAGGCGGTCCCACTGCCCAGCCTTTTAGAGACCGTCCTTGTCCAACAGTGGTCTGATCTTAGTTACAGATTGCAGCTGGGGAGGTAGGTGGCTGCAGGGGAGCAGCTTATTCATGTGCACGGTTAGGACATCACTGAGTGAAACAGCCAGAGTCCCCTGTCCGCCCCCCCCCCCCCCGTTTGCTCTGGGACTAGGGCTTCTGGAGGGAAGAGCACAGTTTTGTATTGGCCTTTTGTTCTCTTTCTCGCAGCCTCCTCGGTGATCTTTGGTCTGAAAGGCTACGTGGCTGAGCGGAAGGGCGAGCGGGAGGAGATGCAGGACGCCCACGTCATCCTGAACGACATCACTGAGGAGTGCAGGCCCCCATCGTCCCTCATGTGAGTGTCCCTGCTCCAGCAGGCCTCTGTGGACCATTTGGCCCGAATTCCGTGGGCAGGTTTCAGGAGCGTGGCCTGTCGCTTGGACTGCTCGGTTCTCGATTTTGCACAGCGCTTCCCTTCCCGATGTTTTTGGTCGTCACGTGGGCAGGGGTGCTCAGGTTGCTGCCAGACGCCCTGCGACAGAGAGCTGTCTGGCCCCAAGCTGTTCCTGGCTCTGGCAGAGCCGAGAACCCTGTTAAATGGGAACAGACTGCCAGTGTCTGAGGAGCTTCCGGCAGGGAGCGCTCTTACTCTGTGAGCCCGTAGGTGGAGGGGGGAGCTGCTCCTTCTGCGGCACGTGGTGATCCAGGAGAGCCGTGTCGTGGTCAGGGCCCAAAAGAGAAAGAGCAGAAATGGCATCAAGGAGAACAGGGCAAATTTTCCTGCAACTTTACAGATTAAAATGAGGCCTTTGGATAAGCTCTGAGGCATGGAGGAAAGACATCAGAAGGCAGGACATCAAGGCGTGTCATTAACACACGTCCCACGTGCACACGGGGGACTCTGTAGGGCAAGGATCACGTGTGTGTGCCACCACCGTGTTTCCACAGTCACAGACAGTCACAGTCTGTTATTAACGGACAGTGTGCTGGAGCCATTGGTGCCGGTGGCTTTTGGCCAGGTGAGGAAGTGATGGTCCCTGCTGGTACCTGGTCATGTGCGGAGAAGACCACGTGTGTATGCACGGTCCCTGGTGTTAGGCGGCCGTTGATCACTGGTATGCTTTGGAGTTCCTTTTGAAGCCAGGAAAGGCCTCTGGAGAGCCCGGCGAGTGGGTCTCACTGGGCTCACTAAACTGTGCCTTAGCAGGTACCGTGTGTTAGGAACCAGACGAAGGTATTTAGTCACAGCTCATGAGGTCTCCGTTGAAAAGGAACTCGAAACATGTTTGAGAAAGAGCTCTGCAGAGTGAATGTCATTTCCCGTGGGCATTTTCATTCTTGCTTGAAATGCTTTAAATCGTTAACGGTGTTTATTCTGTATATGAGAGCTTTCTGGCAGAATTTGAAAGGGGAATAAGTGGTAAGGTGGGCATTGAGAATTAGCTGCTGGGTCAGTCTGAGTGATCATTCTGGAATTACCTCCGCTCTCTGAGGTATTTTTCACGGTCTTGGATCAGTTACTGGTATTGGTGTGTTAGGTTTAAAACGAAATCTGTTTTAAATACAAGTTCTGAATTTTAGTTTCATCTTCAGTGAAAGATCAGTTAATCTTGAGTTTTGAAAAATGTGAGTTTTTAACTTATTTTTTTTAAGATTATTTTTAAGTGATCTCTATACCCAGTGTGGGACTCGAAACCGCAACCCCGAGATCAGGAGTCTCATGCTCCACTGACTGAGCCAGCCAAGGCCCTGAGTTTTTTACTTTTAATTTAAAAATGCCATGAAAGTTGAGGCGCCCGGCCGGCTCAGTCGGAAGAGTGTGACTCTGGATCTCCAGGTCATGAGTTCAAGCCCCATGTTGGGTGCAGAAATCACTTAAATGAACTTAGAATAAAAAATACCATGAAAGTTAACTTCCACGTTTGTCTCAGTTAACGTTGTGTCTTTTTTCTCCGTTGTGACAGTGTGGCTGATGTCTTAGCAGGGGGCGTCCTCAGTCTTTTCGGTGCTCACTGTTTGAAATAAGATTTCGAAACCTTAGTGGACAGGAGCAATCTTTGTGAAAATCTCAGTAACTGACAATTCATTCTTCCAGTACCCGGGTTTCATATTTTGCTGTTTTTGATGGACACGGAGGAATTCGAGCCTCAAAATTTGCTGCACAGAACTTGCATCAGAACTTGATCAGGAAATTTCCTAAAGGTGAGACTGAGAACAAAGTCGGTTCGTGTTTGTCTTGGTGTTTGCTGTCGGTGTAAATCAGGAAGGCGGGTCACGTTGCAGAGAACCGTCAGTGGCTCTCTGAAGATGGGGCAGAAGGGAGTGGGGCTTGAGGTGGGCAGGTGGGGCCGCGTAGGCGCCTGGCGTAGGACTTGTCGTCTGCGCGATGGCACCTTGCGTGAGCTGTGTGTGTGTGAGTGAGTGTCTTGCCTTCACACCTGGAGACTGCTAACAAACTCCACTGACCCTATCTTATGGGCGAGGAAGTGGGATGTTGTTGGTCACGGCACAGAAACAAAATGGCAGTGGGAGGAGAATTTGCCCTTAAGAGTTCGTCGTCTGGTTGCTTCCGTAACAGGAGACGTAGTCAGCGTAGAGAAAACCGTGAAGAGATGCCTTTTGGACACTTTCAAGCATACTGACGAAGAGTTCCTTAAACAAGCTTCAAGCCAGTAAGTGTAATCACATAAAGACGAGTGTGTGAGCGCGCGGAGGTCTTCCGATAGTCACCCGCCACCGAGTGAGCTCTCCTGACCGCTAACGTGCGTGTCGGGGTACAGACCTTACCATTCAGCTCTGCAAGTGAGTCTCGAAGTGCGGGTGTTGGTCGGCGGTGACCTTGTTTCTGACGTGTCTGCCCCCAGGAAGCCTGCCTGGAAAGATGGCTCCACTGCCACGTGTGTCCTGGCCGTGGACAACATCCTGTACATCGCCAACCTCGGAGACAGTCGGGTACGTGGCTCCGGAGCCGCTCCCGGGGACAACGGCGCTGGGTGTGGCCAACACCAGGAAGCGTGCGCTCAGCGGGGTGGGAAGTGGTGACGGGCTGAGGTCTTTCTTGCGGGGCTGCTGCTGGGGCTTCCGCAGACTCCATGTTCGGGGCAGGGGGCCAGCGGCTGCGCCGGGGCTGTTTGCTCTCTGGGCCGTCTTGGGCCCTGGGGAGCGTGTGCGTGTGTGCGCGTGCACGCACACACACTCTGCCGCCATGGGGCTGTGGGTCAGAATGTCATCCCTGTGCAAGCAGCTTGAATATTCCTCAGCTGCATGTCTCTGACTTCAGGTGGCTGGGAAGGAACAGGGCGAGCCCTTCCCTCAACACCAAATAAGTCAAAAGCAGTTGGAGAAGCACTAGGTGATGCCGTGTCCGGAGCCCAGGCCGCGTGACCGCGGGCGAGAACCTGCTTATTTCCCACTGGTGGCAGCCAGTGTCCCGGCCCCAGCGGTGGGGGATGGCTTAGAGCTGGAGGGCAGCGCCCTGCCGCCTGGCTCCGCCCCCCTCCCCACGCGGCAGGACCTCTTTCAGCGAGCCTGGTGCTGTGGCAGCGGTCACGGTGACCAAGTGAGCCTTCCCACTCTCAGGCAGCACCTGGAGACCGCTGCCCGCACCCCGTCGTGTTTAGAGTGAGCTCTGCACAAATACTAGGCGCTGGGGGGACAGCAGTGAGCATCACAGACGGTCCCTGTGCAGTGGGTTTTATCTGGTGATATTCTAGCAGACCGTCCTAGGTCACATGTGTTGAGACTAAATAACAAGTAACGTGAGTAAAATTGGGGAGGGGGCGGGGGGGGGGGGACAAAACCTTTGAGCCTGATCCAAATTTGCATCCTATTTGCCTCCTGGCTCTGCTGTGTGACCTCAGGCACATACCTGTCCTCCAGGCTTCCTGCTCTGCAGGACTGAGGTTTCCCCGGAAGTTCCCACGTGGTGGACACAGTGGCGGCAGCGAATGGAGGCGCTTGGCCAGCCCGCCCTCCTGCCCTCCCCTCTGCCTGCAGCGGACTCTGGGAGTAGCGACGCCTCCCGGGGCTTTCATCCTCGTTGGGTGTCGCAGACGAGAGGGCAGCGGCCTGCGGAGGGTCAGCGACTGGCTGCTTGTCCCGCGGTGCTGGTGCCAGACTGGACCCGCACCGTGGCCCCTCTCCCTGGTCGCGGTTTCTGTGACGCCTCTTTGCTGCCTGATGCTCTGAACTCGTGTTTGTCAGCGGGAGACTGAACTGAAACTCCGTTGTTAACCTTTCTCTTCACCTGGTAACTTTGAACTTCATGACCATGGGACTGTCCGTGTTCCCAGGCAATCCTGTGTCGGTTTAATGAGGAGAGTCAGAAGCACGCGGCCTTAAGCCTCAGCAAGGAGCACAACCCCACCCAGTATGAGGAGCGGATGAGAATACAGAAGGCTGGCGGGAACGTCAGGTAACAGGGCTGGCGGGTGCTCCCCGTCACCGTGGCCGGGGGGCCTCCCAGGGCAGAACTTGCCATGTTCCGCAGTGTCTGTGGCGGGAGGCGACCAAGGTCGAAGCCGGGGAAGCAGGGGAATGGAGGTTGTGGGATTTCGCACCGTGTGCCTAGGAACGTTCTTGAATACTGTCGTTTGTCACAACTGAATAAGCCACAGTTTTAGGCAAATTCTCCAGGAGAGAATCTGAAGTGGTGAAGACAGTAGCTCTTCGTAGCCCGCACCGACCTGCTCCGTCTGCGGCTCCGTCTCTGTCTACACCTTTGACGACCGCGTGCCCGCTCTGGTTTTCATCTGCCGTTTCTCGAAGGTGGCTGACGAGGCTGACTTCTTTCCTCGTCTTTTCTCTACCGAAGGACGTTTACCGGAGTTTGGCCAGGGCGTTTTCTGGTTGGTCTTACAGTGTGACCGTTAGGACTTGATGTTCTGTGGGGGGTGAGAGAGCAGGAAGGGGTCCGGGAAGGCCCGTGGCCGTCTGTCCCCAGAGGGGCATTTTCTGTCCATCGCTGCTGCTCTAGGCTGCTTCCGGCCAGTGGTGCACGGCCTCTGGACAGGAGTCACAACTCTGAGAGCTCCTTTGGCTTTCTTAGAACTTTAAAATTCTGCTTTTGCCCGAACTCCTTGAAAAAATTTGGACATTGACAGTCCCGTGGCTGACAGGAGTATCAGCCATGTGGCGGCTACCCTCTGTCCCCAGGCTCCACGTCATTGAGAGCGGTGTTGAGGTGCCTTAGCGATGTCGTTTGACGGTGTGGCCAGGACGAGCCCCTCAGAGAGGGGAGGGTGGCTCAGGGCGGCGGGCCGGCTTCGTCTTCTCCACGCCCGCCCTGCCGCTGCTATTATTGACACTTTGAGACCTACAGAAAACAATGTAAAATAGTAAAACATTCCAGCATCTGCCGCCTGGATTCAGCAGCGAACATTTTTGCCACGTGTGAGGCTGCCCTGTTTGAAGGTTCGTTGCAGGCAGAGCGCAGAGAGTAACTCTGGTTGCCGCATTCTCTCCTTTCCTGGCCGATCCCGATTTCCCCAGCTATTGCGCGCTGTCTTGGTCGGAAACCGGCGTCCAGTCGGCATTCACGTTGACCTGGGTCCCTCCCCTTGCCGTGAGGACAGTCGTGCGGGGTCGCCCGCGTCCCGAGTTCACTGCCTGCTTTCACACGGCCCGTCCGTTGTTGGCGTCCGTGTGTCCTGCACGTGGGAGTGCGGGTCAGCTCTCCACATGGTTTTCTGAAGTACAGGTGGCTCTTCCGGCCCCGTGATCGTTGGCGCTCCCTGCTGTGGCTCCCGAAGTGCGTGGGACACACTGAAAACGGCTGTGCTTCCGGGGGGCGGGGCCTGCTGTGCTCACACCCCGCGCCCTTACGGTTTCTGTGCAGAGCTGCTGGCACTGACCAGGTCTTCGGGACCTGCGGCTGCGTCGACGCAGGCCAGGCTCGTGCCTGGGGCGGGGGAGGCCACACCTAGTCACAGGTCACCAAAGAAGCGCCTCCTTGGGTTCCTGTGGGGCTCGCGCTTTGAGTGGCTTCCCAGTTAGTGCTCTGGAGGCTGAGAGTGCCCCTCCCCCCACCCAGGTCTTCCTCTGCTCCTGTGCACTTTGTCCCCCTTGCTGTTCCTTTCCATGATTGTACTAAAGATGCCAGCAGGAGGCCCCCGCCAGGAGGGCGACCGTGTGGCCACAGTGAAGGGCCGGGACCGGACTGGATTCTGGTGCCAACACAGCGGCCCAGGCCAGTGAGGAACTTCCTGCCACCCGCAGCCATCTGCAGAGCATCTCTGCGTAGCATTTCCTAATGTTCCATCACTTGGAAAACCTCTGTAGACCCCCGCGAACGGCTCTGGCGTTTGCTGAGCACTCACGCGCCCCTCGTGTGCACCTTCTCTGGTTTCACAAGCGAGGGCCTGCGGCCCCAGGGGTTTGCAGCTGCCGGAGGTCGCAGAGCACGCAGGCCCATCGGGATTGTTCTCGGGGGCATCGAGTGGGGGCCCTTTCCCCTGCTGACAGACATGCAGGCCCACTTCTAGGTTGCCTCCCCATCTCTGGATGCCTCATTGGAAAACGGAACGTGTAGGGACACCTGGGTGGCTCAGTCGATTAAGTGTGCAAATCTTGATGTTGGCTCAGGTCATGACCTCAAGGTTCATGAGATCAAGCCCCGTGTCGGGCTCTGTGCTGACAGCTCAGATCCTACTTGGGATTCTCTCTCTCCCTCCCTCTCTGCCCCTTCCTTGTTCGTGCTCTCTCTCAAAAAGTAAATAAACTTGGGGTGCTGGGTGGCTCAGTTAAGTGTCCAACTTCAGCTCAGGTCACAATCTCACAGTTCGTGGATTCAAGCCCCATGTCGGGCTCTGTGCTGACACCTGGGAGCCTGGAGCCTGCTTCAGACTCTGTGTCTCCCTCTTTCTCTGCCCCTGCCCCGCTTGTACTCTGTCTCTCCCTCTCTCTCAAAGGTAAAATAAAACATTAAAAAATAATAAATTAATTAAAAATTGGAATGGGTAAAAGTCTAATGTGCAGAATACTACAATTGATACAGGTTAAGATAAACCGCGTTCACAGCCTGTGTACAGAAAGCGGTGCTTCGGCATCTGGGAACAGTTACCTTCAGGTATTTTCCAAGTCCGGTTGGGTACAAGTTCAAAGTGTCCTTCTGCGGCAGCTGTTACCCTGGCTGCGGGCTCAGCTGTGGCCTGAGGGGCTTCAGGGCAAACACAAAATAGAAAAGCAGATCTAGGCCCCGACCCAGTCCTGTCACATCCAGCTTGAGTGTGGGCAAGATAGCAGGTTGGGGGTCGGGGGCTGCCCCGTGCCAGCCAGGGGGTGTACCGTGCCGTCGGGTGCCGCGGGGCGGAGGCGCCCAGGATTCAGCACGGAATGTGCAGACGAGCGTGTGTTCCTTGAGGCTCAGGGCTGGCAGCGCGGGTCAGAGCAGACTCGCGGGCTCCGTCTTCCCTCTGCCTCTCAGGACTGTGGACCCACGATCTGTCACATGGAGTCTGTTTCCCCGATTTAGGGACGGACGTGTCTTGGGTGTGCTGGAGGTGTCGCGCTCCATCGGGGACGGGCAGTACAAGCGCTGCGGGGTCACCTCTGTGCCAGACATCAGACGCTGCCAGCTGACCCCCAACGACAGGTACGTGGCCGTGCCACAGGCACAGGGGTGCATGCACACGGTCCGGTTTCCCTTCCCGACTTCAGTTTGTGTCATGAGCCTGGAGTGGGTGGGGCAGTCCTGTCGTGGGCACTGCCTGGGCCTGACTGCAGGAACAGACAGACTGCTTTCTGCCCTGGCAGGTCCCCCAGTCCAGGAGGTGAGCGCACGTGTGAGCGGGGGGGGGGGGGGTGTCCCGGCACCGGGTGTCGGGAGCATGGGTGCTCTGGGGGACCTGGGCCACGTCCCTGTGGGAGAGAGAAGGGCCTCCCGGCAGAGGGAAGGTGCACCGCCACTGCAGCAGGAGAGCATGACGGGCGGGCGGGCGGCAGTAGCGGAGAGCACCGAAGGATGACGGCAGGGTGCTGGGGGGCGGGGGGCGGGTTGTGCGGGGTCCTGAGTTCCATGCTGAGGAGTTTGGCTGGTGGAGAAGGGAGGTGTTGAAGCAGCGCCGGGCTGGGGCCAGAAAGAGACGGCCGTGATGAGCTGCCTGAAGATGGCGCCGTGCCCGCCACGGCCAGGGCCCCTCAGCGAGGAGTTGAAGGTTGGGTGGGCGGCCCGAGGCTCAAGAGGAGCCCCGAGGAGCCTTGAGGAGCGGGCCTGCTCCCTCCGCCTCCCCACGGCCCCGCCTGCCCAGCGTCTCGTGCGGGGGGGGGGGGGGGGCGTGTGCGCTTGCCGGCCTTGGGGTCTTGGGACGCTTCCTTCCACCAGCCCCTCCTCTGGTTTTCCAGACCCTGCCCGGGCCCTCCTGTGGCGTGCGCTGTGCCAGCTCCCCTGCTCTGGGTTGTAGTCGTGGCTTTGTGTGACCAGTTACTCGGGCTCTGTCACCACGGGAGGGGGGCGGGGCGGGGCGGGAGCCTCCCTGGACGTGCACCTGCTGGGCTCCAGGCACCCTGCGTGCTCACTGAACACTGTGGGGGACGCGCCCGGCCAGAAGACAAAGACCTGGGTGTTAGCATGAGCAGAGAGGGGTGACCACCTCAGAGCTGTGGGGAGCCCCCCTCTGCACCCTCTTGTTCCCAAGGACTTCCTTCGGGAGTCCAGAGGAGGGGGCCTCTGAAAGGGACCTGATCCTGTTCTCAGACCACAGACGTACCTGGTTGTCCTGCCTGCCGTGTTGGACTCTCGCAGCGCTCTGTGAGGGTCGTGAGGGCTCGAGGCCCTCGTGTCTGTGTCTACACGGTCACGTGGTGATGGAAATTCAGTGTGTTTGCCATAACACCTGATGTTTTTATTCCACGATTTACCTCGAGTTCATCTAAGAAGTACCTAGCGTTTGGGTTAGTCCATAATCATCTTGTGGGCGGACAGAAGGGTAGTCCAGTTTTGATGGACAGTATCACAGCTCTAAATGCTAGTTTCCACCTCTCATAGAAGTTAAATTGGTTGTAAAAAATTCTTAGCCTTTGAGTAGTTGGATAAATATTTGTTTTACCTGCATTGTCCAGCCATTTGATAACGTTTGCTGCTAAAACCCATTTATATTTCTTCTTCCCGTTGCAGGTTCATTTTGCTGGCCTGTGACGGCCTCTTCAAGGTCTTTACCCCGGAAGAAGCTGTCAACTTCATCTTGTCCTGCCTGGAGGTAAGAGCTCACCCAGTACCAGCTGCTCGAGCTGCACGTGGCTTCCTCCCCGCGGCCCCCCAGTGCACTTTTCCTGTGTGAAATCCACCCAGGGGACTCATCGGTCCTTTGGTCCTGCTGCCTGTCCTGACGGAGGCTGGGGAGCAGTTCCTCCTTTCAGAGACCACATCTCGGAGGGTGACCGGATCCCCCACTCACCTGTGCCCCTTTGCTGTCCGGTAGGATGAGAAGATCCAGAGCCGAGAAGGGAAGCCCACAGTGGACGCGCGCTATGAAGCAGCCTGCAACAGGCTGGCCAACAAGGCAGTGCAGCGGGGCTCGGCGGACAACGTCACGGTGATGGTGGTGCGGATAGGGCAGTGAGGGCGCGGCGAGGCCAGGGTCGCGGCATGTGCAGACTTCAGAGGTTCATTGTGTGTGTGTGTGTGTGCACATTACGTGTGTTTCGTGTACTCCTGTGGGACTCCCATGGTTGTAAATAAAGGTTTCTTTTTTTTTCTAGTCTTTGCATTATTACATTTGAATGATTCTTGACCCTTCAGAGGTTGTGTTTGCTTTTGGATGTGCTCTGGGTCTTTCCTTGGCCAAACCGTCATGGCATCTTGGATTGGCCTGTAGTGGTGACCCCACAGGCTGCTGTGACATTTGTAGTTCATGGGCACCTCACCTGTGCTCTTTCGCCCTCATAATGCGCCTGGTTGGGGACGTGGCATTTTACAGTGGGAAACTGAGGAAGTGACCTGCCCAGACAGGCTGTCCGAGCCTTCTGGCTTTTTTCAGTTCTCTGTGCGAAATAAGGTTGCAGAACATTGTGTGGGGGGCGGGGTGCTAGGCCTAGCTGAGGGGGGCGCGTAGCCCGATACATGAGGTGCCTCTGGTAGGCACTCCCCGAACGACATGGAATTCGGCTAATTTCTGATTCCCTTGATAATGGGTGCAGTCGGGCCCCAGGTCTCCGGACTGCCAGGTCTCCTGAGTCCCCCCATCTGGACCCCCTGGGTGTCAAACGGGCGCTTTCCCGGTCGGAGCAGCCAAGCTGCTGTTCGGAAACGCCTCTGAAATCCAGCTTCCAGTGTTAGGCATGTGCGTGCAGTTGGCTCTGTGCTGGGCTGAGGTCAGTTGTGAGGACACTTGAAAGAGGGACCCTTCTGGTGAAGATGTTAAAAAATGCATAGTCTGGGGGCGCCTGGGTGGCTCAGTCGGTTGAGCGGCCGACTTCAGCTCATGATCTCGCGGTCCGTGAGTTCGAGCCCCGCATCAGGCTCTGTGCTGGCAGCTCAGAGCCTGGAGCCTGTTTCGGATTCTGTGTCTCCCTCTCTCTGACCCTCCCTCATTCATGCTCTGTCTCAAACGTTAAAAAATAAATAAATAAATAAATAAATGCATAGTCTGCTTGCAGGAAGAAACTAAAATACTTCTCAAGTCCTTGTTGATCCGGAAAACCGGTCACATGATCACCGCAACCGAGTTTTAGTAAAGCAGCTCTTGGGCCTCCCTTTAGTGTTTGCCTCAGGATGATGTAAGTTTCCACCACGTTGCCTTAGAAGCAGCAGTTTGGTAACTTGCGCTGGCCCCGCCCAGCACGCGCAAGCGCCTTATCGCCCCTTCTGGCCTGCAAGTCCCCCCGCCACGTTCTGAGCACACCCTTCCCCGGAGAGTGTGGAGCCAGCCTCCTTGCCGGGGACTGGGACTCCGTACGGTGGGGTGTCACTGAAGAGAAGGACCCCTGACTTTCCAGAGGCGTGAAACAGAACGCTTTTTATCCACTCAGCATCTTCAACCAGGAGCCAGTCTGCGACTCCCGAGTCCCCAGTGCCCAGAAAGCCACCGTCCCAGAGCCGTCCTGAGTGGACCTGGCCTAAATGTTTAAGGTTCTTTATTTTCAGGTCTGCGCTTTGTTTTTGTCACTGTGCGTAAGTCCTGCAATAAGAGTTCTTAGCACTGGAACCACATCACGAAGTCAGTTATTTATATAAATACGTTCCACCCGGCAAGATCATACAATAAATACTTCAACAAACTGGTGTGTAATACACTTAGGTTGAGAAAAAGGAAGAGGTCCGTGGTTTTTTCAAGGGTAAAAGCTTCTCTAAAATATGCCCACTGGATGCAAAGGGAAATCCAGAGAAGGGTGTGGCCGCAGCAGCCCTTATCAAACAGCCAGGGGAGGCAGGACCCACGGCAGCCGGCCCTTCCTGGTAGGGTGGGTACCAGTCCTACTGAGAATTCCACCAGGCCTGCCAAGGGCACCGAATGCCCGGTTCGCATGTACTGTGCCCGGGCCCCCCCCATCCCCCCTGCAGGAGGGAGGTGTTGGGATTCCAAGAGGGGACACGAGCTGTGTGCTCTGGGAGATCGGTCAGACCTGGTCACCGTCCTGAAGCCTGCCAGATGGTAAGGTGACTGCAGCCACTTCCCTCTGGGCCTGAACACACCCTTGTCGGGCCCGCCTGCCCCCCCCCCCCGGCCCCCCTGTGGCACCAGGTCCCTGCAGCCACCGTGGCCCAGGCTGCCATGTAACTTCCTCAGCGGCACCTGGGAAGAAACACCTGTGTCCCCTCACAGGACCACCCCCCGCCGACCGCTGGCCTCTCCGCCCCAGTCCATCACTGATACAGTGTCACAATGAATTTGGGACCCAACTCCCCCAAGACAAAGCAAGTGCTTCTGGGCGCTGAGCCCCATAGAAACGTTTGCCGAGTAACAGCCCGATGGGGCTCTCCTCCTCTTGAAAGACGCCCTCCTGAAATCACTCCTGGTGCCAGTGTGTACGTCACCTCCCTGGGCCGCTGGCGTTGGGCCGTCTCTGGGCTGAGCGGCAGGACCCACACGGGCGGTTCCAAGGGCTTCCTCCGGCGCCTGGCCCCCCCGCCACTTGGCGCCACCCGGCCCGGATATTGTTCGGACCCGCTTCTGTTTGCCGGGCACAAGGAAGGGCCCGGCGTGGCCGCTCAGACGCCGAGGAGGACCGCGCTGAAGTGGGAGCCGCTGCGCACGGTGAGGGAGGAGCCGCTGGCGTTGTCCAGGAAGACGGAGGCGTACTGCCCCATCTGCAGGGAGGGTCAGAGCCAGCCTGGGGACCGCCAGCCCCCCAAATGCAGAATCTGGGGACTCCCCCAACCGTCTGCATCCGAGGACCCCAGGTGGACCCCGTGCCACCCGGCAGTGCCTGGGACCTGACCCTTCGATGCCTTACAGCGACCACAGCTCTGGCCTCCCAACTGTGTGGGAGCTTAAGCAAACGACGTAACCTTTCTGTGCCTTCGTTCCCGTGTTTGTGAACAGTGGGAACGCTGTACATCACCTACACTTAAATAAAAACTTTCCATTCTGGTGAACGG